CGACTTAAACATTTGCCATCATAATCGAGGAGATTAATCATTTTTAATTATTAACTGTGGATTGTGTTGAGAATGCTCACTCGACGACGTTTTCCGCCTTTCCCACCCTCAACAGGCTCATTTGCTGACCACTTTCCTTGTCCCGTGAGGCTGCCCTACACCACCTTCTGTCCGACATCGGCCCATCTGCCCGACCAGACGGTACAGGTGTGCTCGGTCTATCGGCCCTCTTCGGATTCGCCGCAGTCGAGTTCGAGTCTCGTCTCACCTGGCCCGCCCGTTAAGCTGGCCAAGCGTTCACGACGGCGAAGACCGAACGTCTACGAGGCCGAACCGACAACGGCGACGATGACAGCGGAAGGCGACGCGAACGGCGAAACGCGCAGACGCAGACGTGGTCCACAGCGAAGGCGTGTCTCGACCGGTTTGATGTTCTCGGCGGGACAGTCGATCTATCATCAGTCAGCGGATCAGGTCACGTTTGATCGTCTTCAGAATGGGATCACCGAACTCATCTCCTCCTCCTCCTCCTCCTCCTCTTCGTCGTCGTCATCGTCGTCGTCGTCGTCATCGTCGTCGTCGTCGTCGTCGTTCGCCCTCGGTACCGGCCACTTCGACTGGACGGCAACCAGCCGATCCATCTGGTCGGATCACTTCGAGGCGAGCCATCGGCCACATGGACACGCCTATGACGTGTTTTCGCCTCAGTGTACGTTGACCTTTTGCAGTCTCATTTGGTAATGATGCGAAAGTGACTTTTGTATCAGTTGCAATTAATACTCAATTCTATTGTTGCTCTCTTGAGTGAAGTCCACTTTTCACTTTGGCACAACGTCCTCATCATATTTTATCCAGTTTTTGTGATCTCATGTCGCTTAGACTGTATTGAATTTTTCCCAGTCTCTAGTCTTGATAAGGGAAGGGACGAAAATACACAGTCAGTCCACATTAAATCATATTTTTCCACCCTATCTGAGGGATCACAATTTGAAGTAGTCACTATCGCCTTGAAAAGGTTGCTTATGACGATAGGCATGATGATGAGTATACTTCTGAGTTTGATGATGAGGATGTTGATAATGGTGCAAATGATGCTTTTACTGATAAATATAATGATGGCGAGGGTGAACAGCATAGCACAAATGTCATGATGATGATGCAATTGATAATAAATATAATTGTAGTTTTGATGATGACTCTAATCAGTATGATTCAAATTAGAATGGTGATGATGAATAGGATTTTAAATAGAAGTTGAATTGTGATGATGATGGGCTTTCTGATGGTTATGATATTCATTCTGGTGAGTAAGTGGATGAGCGTGCTGAAGGTAATACTACTACTACTACTACTAATTAAAATTTAAAATAATATTGAGAATGATAAGCACGATGCTGAGCATAATTCTAATTATGATAATAATGCGCATGATGATGAGCCTTATCATGATTTTGATCATTTTTGTGAGGATGTGGATGAGCATGTTGAAAGTTATAATTATACTAATACTAACAACAGCAACAATAACATCAACAATTGCAATAACATTAAAAATAATGATAATGACGAGCATGATTCTAATTATGATGTTGGTGATCATGATGCTGAGCATGATGATGATGATTATTATTATTTTGGCGAGAATGTGGATGAGCGTGCTG